TATTAGTCGGGTCTATACATTTAGTATTTGTATCGAGTCTAATCAGCTATAACCTTAGAAAGTTTACAGGGTTTTATTTTTCATGTACCATGTTGAGTTAGAAAATAAGACAAGTAGAGACGTTTTTATTTGCGCGCAGCAGAGCGTACGCAGCACATAAGTGTCTGGGAGTTTCTTTTTTTGATGTGTGTATGTTTGCCACCCGCATCACAATGGCCAACACATCGTCAACAAATGTGTATTATAATTTTCAATAGCACTTTCACCGAGTAGACATATGTGGGTTAAGCATCTAAACTAAAGTTAACCTACATTTCAAAATGCAGCTATTTTATAATGGTTTTACGTTTCACTACACTTCTCTTTCTTTCGAAGTGCAATTGTATTCTTCAGAATCTGAGACCGAGCGCTTAATTGTGGTTCCTCAGGCTTTTAACAGGCGAGTTGTAGAAAGCCATGGAAGATCAGATAATTCAAATGGTTTGATATGGGTTTAATGTAGTTAAACGGATATGAGTTGCACCTTGGAACTAGGGTGACGGAGACAGCTCGCGTATTGGACCTTGCATTCAGTGAGATATCTGTTAGAAGCACAGTGAGCTGTTAGTCTAAAGTAAAGGATTTCATAGAGGAAGCTTTGGACTCATAAATGAATTTTGTGGAAGGTCTTATAAGAACGTGGAGAACGAAATAGCGGAAGTAATCGTATCTCAAAATTCAAGGGTATTGATATTCAGATTTCGTGTATGTATGTGTACTGTACTTGTTTTCTTCGGTCATGTTATTAAAGTAATAAATATGGACAAATGAGTGCCGCATGATTTTATCGTGGATTTAAAATGAAGGCATAGAAATGCTTATTTCTCCTCATTCTCACCCTATAGCAGTGATGCGTTGTTCCATTGAATTGTAATTTATGGTGAAAATGACTCTTCTGCAATAATCTTAGCCCGTAACATGAGTGAATGGATATAACTGAAGCGACATGTGGTGCCTACTAGGTAATCTAAAACAGTTGTTCAATACAATTTTGAGTCTTGGCTTACTGTTAAGTCCGAAGTGTTATCAACAACTGAAAGTGACAAAAAACAAACCATGCAATAAACAAGCGGGCTTATTGAACAAAACTAATTTATCTTTATTGCACGACGACGCTCGACCTCACAGCGCAAAAATCATCCACCATAATCATCAGATATTGTTCCCACATGCTAATGTTTTTTACAAAGTGTTTTTTTTACATTCCTTACTAGAAAAATTGTTCAGGGCTTTACATGTCCAAATTACGTTCATATGCTACATACCTTTACAACAGCGGAATAAACAAGTGGCGCCAAATGAATGAAAACTATATATAATGATGCATACCTCTATTGAAAATAAATGAACTATATTTAAAGAACTGAAAAAGGTCGAATTTCATGCTGATATATGATACAAATGAATCTAGACACGATTGGTTTTTATGGTTAAAAAATGCATCTAGAAATCGTTTTGAGATCAGAGTCCTAGCTAGTAGTCGCTTAAAGTGATAGAGGGTACTTTCATGACGAGTATCAATTAAGCTCCGTTAAATAAATAATAAGAGAACAACTACTGAATTAAATTGATGCATACGTGATTTGTGAAAGTATATATATATATAGAATTACACGAACAGAATTTCTTTCGGTATCCTTTCTATCTCAAATGCTTCTAGAATTGCTAATTTTGATTATGCATACTCAACTTGAAGGCATGTGAAAAGTTCTAGATTTCGCTAGGAACTTGCTTCGTACTGGTGGATTGAACAATGTTTAACGGCAATACCGGACGTAAAACTCTAAATATTTTGGTTTAGCCATGTAAAACACTTTTCAGAACCTAACTTGTTAGGTAACTTCCGTCAAGTACAGTCGTTTCTACCTTACAACTAGTGTATGACCGCGTAGAACAACTACATTTATGTTGTAATCAGTTGTTAACTTAATTATGATCTTGTTGCAAACGTTTAGTTAAACATTTCATCAGTCGGTGGCTTTTCAACATTTGCACTGCATTTGTATATATTTACACTGCTCTAAAACTGAGGAGAGTTACGATGCTCAAGGTTCCATATTTCCATGGAGCAAAGCCAGTTTCTAAAATATGGCTTTGAATTACTTGGGATATTTTCAGAACACTCTTCTGCGTGCTTCTCGCGAGGCACATGAGGAAACGAAATGGGTCAGTAGGCACAATAAACGTACGACGCGGGAAAATATCAGCGGCATGCTGTCGGTGGAATCACGCGATGATTACGCCTTCTTCTTCCATGGTCGTGTTTACAAGCTTAAATTTTTTTATGTCACTTTGCAAAGAGTTAGTTCGACCAGGGCGGGCGACCATCTGGAGTAATGGAAATCAGTTAGATCGATTATAGTCCACAAAATAATTGTACTCCCGATTTAAAGCACTACAAATGTGAAACAAAAATGAAAAGTACAGGCTCGCCACCTGTACAATTTGCACGTGTCATATTGGAACAATATAACACTTTCGAACTATAATAGAAGCACCCTCGGTCATTGAAACAGTCACGTAAAAGTGCACAGAAACACCAGCTAAAGAAAAACCGGTAACGCGTATGACAACTTAAGCCTCTTTCCCATTAATTTTACAACAACGAGGCGACATTGATCGAAACAATGAACTCTTGTCAACTCTAACACAATAAAATCAGAATACAGCTAAATCAAAGCATTCCTGGGTTGGTTGATAATTGGCAAATAACTAAGAAAGGTAGATAAGGAATTAGAAGTTAACGCAGAAAATCTAGAAACAAAGCCCATCGAGAAGGGAGATTTCCTAAAATGTTGAATATTCGAATTTTCGGAAAAAAATGTTGAGGTTATAAACAACGAAGTCGGTGTCGAACAGCGAGTGGTAAGCCTACATTAAATGGGTAAAAATGAAATTCCAAGCATCGTTGCTCAACTTGAGCTTGGATTGTTTACTAAACAAGCTTTTCATGCTATGAGGAGTAAGGCGACAAAAACTGGAAAACTCAGGATTCGTTGGTAACACGGAATCAGTCTAACCTAGAACCCATCTGTATGAATTTCTGGTGAATGAAGACGAATAATCTTAACGCCAAACCGCACTTGAAGTTTGCCAAGCTACAACGACGAATTTACAGATTGGGGTGAAGAAAAGCGAATACGAGAAACCGCTGTGGAATACGAAGGAAATATTATCTAACTCGAAAAGAATCAGGTCAACCGCATCGGCCTATTTTCTGTATGTACGTCGTATCAGGAAAATAACCAGCTTCGAATCAGCAGGTCCCGGTAATTCAAAAAGTAACAACAAAATCACATAGTGGTTTAAAATAAGAACCAAATAGTAAGCATTACTATAATTGTTAATTAGAGTGGTATACATGTGAAATTTACTAGATAATGGTACCGTTGAGGCAGCATTAATTATTTATCATATAGATTTATTCAGTGTTATGATTATGAAAATAGTTTGGCACGCGCCATTCAGAGCGACTTTCCAGCAACAAACGTTGATTTGTTTGTCATACGGTATTTTCCGCGAACTACATATAACGATGAAGGCTGGCCGTATTTTATGCTCCCGAAATCCGCCAATCAACCATTACACTTCAGTAAAAGCTAATTCTGGACAAGCGCTAAAAGTGCAACATACGAAAATGCATAGCCAAGCAGTGTCCTAGATGCAGGAGCTCGCTCTAAAGCATCGCCTGCCACTGAAAAACTTGCAGCAGTTTTTCAGGGAAACCCAAGTTGTTTCATTTCAACAATGACTGGCAAGGCAGATTGCCTATATCAAAGTTTTCCTCATTACGTCACTGCATTCTTTCGCATCATAATTTTACTCTGTAGACGTTTCCTTGTCAATGACAGATTTTTAAATAAAAGTTTAAGACTTTAAGACACTTTGCTCCGGAACTATGAGGTACCGTTTTGATTTTAGTCTCTGACCAGACGAGTTCTGAAGCACTTCTCCAACTATAAGAATTAAAACGATCTAATTTTTAACGCAAAAACCGATATTGTCTTTGGAGTTGTAAGCAACCAACGAGCGTTCAGTGCTCTTCTCTGTAAACGTGGTGAGTCGCATGGATATGATCTTGACCAGTGCACTGCCGCGCCAAGCTGAAGCCTTTGCCAGTAATTCCATATAGAGGGTAAAATTAAAACAGGCATAAGGCTGAAAAGCAGTACGTTTACATATCTAATTAGAAAAAGCAGATGCAATCAGTTAGGAGCAAGTACACTTATCTTAATTCTGCTTGCGCTGTAAGTATACTTTTCAAACTGCTCTCCTTACCTTTCCTAACTTTTGCGTCAATATTTCAACGTCCTTCAGCATATTAAAATATCATGTTAGATTACTAACCATATACAATCACTTGGCTTGTACATTAGCCATAATACATAGGTCATTCTGACGATATCAATCACTCCTCATGTATATATCATCTTAATACGTATCATAGACGCTTAGTAAATACGTTGGGCTGTAATATGTTCTACAGACTGCCGGTACTATTAAAATGATTGAATGAAGTTAATAATAGCCTTGAAGGGATGGCTTGTGTAACCGGTGGCAAACGTCCATTCGATTCGTAGTTATGTTAGGGAATAATTATTTGAATAAATGAAACGTATTCTGAACATGCGTGGCATAGACCTGATTGCCTTCACATAACCACGCCGTTAGTTATCCTTGCGGAAATATCCTAACGTTAAAATAGATGTAGCAATTTTACTTTGTGACATTAATCATACATCTTCATTGTAGTCATCGAGTCAGATAAAAGCTGTTTACTTTATCAATCTCCGGCGCAAGCGAACAATATGCGTAATAAAATACCGCTGCTGCAATTCGATACAATTCGAAAATTCAGCGCCATCACCAGTTTGCCGCGCTCGCGCTCCTTACGAGTCCCGAATGTTGTTGACGTCATCATAGGGCCCTTATCTTGTCGTGCCCAACACGGCACATTGGTTGTGCTCCCTTTCGGGAGAGCCTGGCCTGCTGCTTTTCTGCTTCCCTCCATCTTGGATCTCGTCCGGTGACCATTCTAAAGCAGGTCGAGCCGCACTCGCAAATATTCTAACGGACCTGAACACGGCATACCATCAAACAGCACATTGACATAGGTAAGTTATTTTAAACTATGTAGGCTTATTCGGCTAATTCATATGTAAACGCTATACCGATTGTCACTAGGGTTTGGGTTCTCTAAAGCCTATAGAGAACGGAAGTACCAGGGCGGGCTATACATTATGCAACATATGGACAGAACAAAACATGCAAGTACGTTTTGTTCCGTTTTTGGCCTACATGTTTCTATTTACTGTATGTCAAGGATAATTTACGCATAACAGTGATAATTAAATATCTTTAAATGATTTTGACGACAATGTCTAGTGGCAAAAAGGTGTCTAATCCTAAAGTATCCTGCGAGGTGGTAAACTACCGCAACGCCTTTTGTTCTTACTAAGCAAGAACTATCATTTACATGTTTTAAATACACGAAACCGTCATTACTCAGTATTGCATATCTCTTCCTGATGCTTAAGATACACCCCACACATACCCCTAGGGCTAATAAGTAGAATCGTTACCATTGCACCATTATCGAGGTCCCTTTAAAAAAAGTCCATCAAAAGATTAAATATTCGGCTTGCGTTTGTGGTTTTTGATAGGGCGATGCTTTCAACTTCTGCTCCAAAATAGCTCTAATTAAGCTAGTAGCATCTGTACGATTTCTTAGCATCTGACTTATTAGACGTGGAGCGTTACTGATAAGCTGGCTAGAAATCTTGACATTTCATTTACAGAAAACTAACTTGGATTCTGTTAAGGGGTAATATATTTAACCAAACGGTTCGTCTTTCGTGCAAAATATGTTGCATGACGGGTTGAAACGGAGATTACTAGCTTATTCTTACTATTACTTATTTTTGATTGATCATATCTCATAAAATTGGGACAAATTAGTACAGAAAATTTGTCATTTATAAATTCTTTTACCACAGAGGTCTCAGTCCTATTGCTTTTACGACAAAAGGTGGAGCTTGATTGAGTCTGTTCGCACGCCGATGGAGTGCACATATTATGAAGGAAAGTAGTATTAATCTAGGCTGATGATGCTGTTTCCTTTGATTTTAAACTTCACTCTATACCTCTTAGAGTTTCAATGTTACGTGTTGGAAACTAACGGGCAGCTGTAAGCCTGAGGTATTTCCTGCCTACCGCCCATCGATAAAATGAAGTGAACATCTTTTTACTTTAATTTAATAAAAGTTTTTTAAGTTACAAAATGGGGACCACTTTCGCAAATATGGTCTAGTTACTCCCTGAATGAATAAATAAAGGAAATCTGGGTCTGAGATGATAGAGTTTGGCAACATCGTATTTATGGCGACTGCTGCTGCTGCACCATCGCCAGCAGACAATTCCTGGAACATTTAGAAGGTTTCTTTGTATTATAATAGGTAATAGCTAACCTGCTACCCAGTATATATATATATATATATATACTGGGTAGCAGGTACGCGTGTATTTGCAATAAATGCATGAGAAACACCATGCGAAGGCATTGTTTTATGCTGGCAGCAAATAGGTCTTCCCAGCATCCGACATTATGCATACTCTATTGTAGTCTAAACTTGATTAAGGCATATTTAAAATAAATTATTTGTCTTGGTTAAGTGTTTTAGTTGACGTGAGGGTTCGGTATTGGTGATCGGTGATTAATCAACTATGGCGAGATCTCTGTTGCATTGCATGGGCATCACAATATTGCTTTTTGTGCTGACTCTCGGCGTCCAAAGCCAGCTGGATCCGTCTGACCTTGATGAAGCATTTTTTCAACAGGTAAATGTCTATAACATCTTAGAGAGCGACTATACCGAAGTGTCTGTACCAAAATAGCAATAAGACAGTTAACATAGGAGTTTATGTAACTACACTGGTAACCAAAGCTGTCATCAGTATTTTTGTTGAATAGAATATGTACATATGATACGGCTATTTCCCAAAAAAAAATTCTTTAATTAAAAGCATTTTGAGCTTTAATAGATGATTCAAGACTAGTTACACCTAATGCGTTATATTTCTCGAGTAATTTCACTGTCCCGAAACTGAGCCTGGTCTGCCCGATTTTATTTTTTAGAATACAATCAGTATTTTTATTAGCAACTATCAGTGAAACTTGCCCAAAGATCAGGATGTAGAGGAAAGATTTAGATCCTTTCCATGCGTTAAACTGCGAAACGAAGTGTGCTGACGCCCGGAGTAGAACCTAAACGACGACGTACGGTTCTTCGTGTGAAAAACGACGTTTCACCAGAATTCTAACAACAACTTAATTTATTGAGTATTCGCCGTCACTCTCTTTGACCTTCTTTTGTCTGTCTACCAATTTAAATGTTCTTTCTCGCCAGAAACTCTTAGATCTGATGTTAACACACCTGTCGAGCCAGGTTTAAAGACTCTTTTTGTTCTCCAATATGCGGTTACTAATTTCATTTACCATTGATTGAAGAAAATGATAGTCTGCTAGTGCGAGATCTGGAGAATATGGTAAGTGTAAAAAAACCGTCCGCCCAAGCTCTTGCAGGGTGGCCATCTCAATCCTTGTTTTGTGCGGCTTTGCATTGTCATGACTTTGCATTGTCTGTCGGATTTTTCTGTTGGATAGCCTCTTCCGGTCCGTGGAACTGGGCCATATACGGATCCGTGTTAACCGTTTTAATTTTTAGAAGTATTTTTTAGCGTGTAAAATCCTTCCAACCTCTTTAAACTGATATAATTGTCTACCTAGGATGGAGATCCGGGCTTGAGCTCATCTTCTCTGCTTTAGCACAACGTGAAGATATCACGTCTTTACGCTAGTGACAAGTCTATTATGTGGCTAGGCAGGCTAGATATTGAGAAATAATGAGAAGTTGTGTTCCTTTGTAATGTTCATTCAATTTATGGCATACCTGAGCTCCCATTTTTTAACTGAATGCGGTGAACCTAAAATGCTTCTCGATAACTAGATGGCTGCAATTTACTTTCTGGCTTGATTCAAGAATTGTTTGGCGGCTGTACTCCTTCAAACGTACTTTCAATTGATCCTCATCGATCTCGGATGGCTATCAGGAGTATCCTTCAGTTTTAAGATGCCATTGTTAAACTTTGCAAACCAGTGTTGAGCAGTCCTCTCAGTTATAGAGTCCTCGCTACATACGACATATATATCTCCGTTGCTTTAGCAGATGTTTAACTGCGGTAAAAGGCGAAATAGGGTAGGTGTCAAAAATGCACTTCATTTTTATCTGTAGTTTTCGTTTTCGGAGCACGAACCCAATCTAAAATTCCATTCACTGCATAACGAAGTTACAACTTATAGAAGAAAAAGAACACGTTTAAATGGTGTAAGGAAGTAAACTGACAGCGGAGAGGTGAAAGGGTAAGGAAATATTGAAAATAAATAACAAATGCTCGTGTTCCAATCTAGTACTCAAATGGTAGAACATCTTCAAACTGTTCTAATTCATTTCATTCTTGCATATAATATTTTTTGCAAAGAGTATTATTTTCGCTAGTATTCTGTAACATACTTCTCAACGCGATTTCTCCCAGAAATCGGCGTATGTTATCTTATCTATCATATGCATCGGAAATTGTACATCAGCACGCTTAACACATTTCTTCTTTAATAATCAATACGCTGATGTTAGCGCCGACTGATACTACCGCCACATTGGTACTGCCGCTGCTGATTTCGTTACTGATAATAAACAGTTAGATCTTCAATAAGAAAGACAGATTTCTGTGCCAGCTCGTGAACAACGCTGATTCTACGCCGCAGATTAAATATCCGTAGCTCCTAACACAGAGAGAGCCTTTATAGTCCAAAAAAGAACATTAGCGTGTCGTATCTCTGTCATTCATCAAAGCTGTTCCCGGTGAAAACTGCGGGATTACTATTATCATTCATATGGTCCTGATAATATTCTTAGCCATCGTGTTACTTGAGGCCGTAACTACTATTAAATATGGTTCTTGAAATGGGGGTATTGAGCGCTAAGTTAACGTGACATCAGCAAGTGAGTATGAACGAATAAAAAAATAATGTAGGCAGACATAGGCAAATCTTTTCAACGATGTTTCGAATGTAGTAGACCAGCATATGGGACCAGCTCAACAGCTATTGAAGAATTCTTCTTTCGTGTAAGTTAAATCAGCTAGAGTAGCATGATATTTGTAGATTTACGTAGGATTGAATTAGCATAATTCAAACTCTGATTGAATTGATCTAGTTACGAATCTATTTTTGTCTAGTTTTATGATTTTGAAGGTAGCACCGTACGACTTCTGGTTTTAGCAAACAAAACTTATCTATTGTTTATTCATAATTTTTCTACAGCTGTCTCCTTCCCCTCAGAGTCCAAAGCTGTTGATAATCCACGCTTCGATATAATCTCGAGAGAAAAGCTCCCGAAGATGTGAGCCCCCCAATTTGTTAAGCTAAAAGTATAACTTGCTGACCTTTTTCTGTGTCTTTGCCTTGTAAACGATTACCAAATTCAGAAATTCTGAGTTATAGATATAGTATGTTCCACAAAGCTATGTTCACCTGATATTTTATGAGCGCGCCTACGAACCGAAAACGACTCAGCGGCTCCTTGAAGTATTTCTTTTCGAATTTCAGAGAAGCCTTATGTGGTTACTTAAGAAATTTTTTCATTGTATCTTCAAGCTTAATCTTCGATCTTGGCGACGGCTAGTATCGTTTTGACTTTCCGTACGTAGAGTAATCACACTCATCCAGCTACCTAGACGGATCTGTATGAACGTTATTCTAATCTATATAGTAATAGAGTCGTAAATAATAGGTAAAAAGCTAATAACAAACATTTAAGAAACTAATACACTTATCCGAACGTTGTATGGTGAAAACTAGTTAAGAAAATGTTTCCGTGTACTTAAGCCATTTGGTATGTGTATCTAACAACCTAAACCACCTTGAGAACTGGTAGTACATGACAAGCTAAAAGTTTGAATTTTTTTCGTCCTTCTCGCTTTTATATATAAACAAGTGAAGGCTAGCAGTCTGTCCAGGGATAAACACAGTTGCGTTTTGCTGTTAGGACAATATATACAGAATACAAAAGCAGTACCTGCTTTTAGTAAAAACATACATCGTAATGGTACAAGACAGGCACTTTGCAAGTGTCGCACAGAATACACACCATAATTTTAGTTGATGAGAATAATATTGAGATGATTAATCGAGAAATTCGACAAAACTGGTTTACTTATAAGTAAAATGAGGCCAAAAATGCCACAGACCGGATGACTAAATCATAACATTGTAAAATATGGAGCAATCTGGATGCTGATCCAACGATCGTAGCATGACGTCGTACCCAACAACTCAACCTATTGAGGAGCACTTTACGACCCGCTTTAAAGCAAAAATGGCATTTTTCTCCGTATAAAGTACAGTTAATTTAGTAACTAGAAACTCAGAATTATCACAAGCATAGTTTATCCGCCGATTACATGTCGAAAGCGAAGCATGCGCCTTTTTTTTAACATATCTTCCGTTATGAAGCTAATTTTCAACTGCATGTCTAGGTAAATAATTGTCGCATCTGAGGCTCGCAAAATTCAATAGTGGGTGTTTAGCAACAACTTCTCTCAGCAAAAGCCACTGTATGATATGACTTGTGAAGCAAAGGTATCACTAGGCTCATTTTCCTCGAACGTGACTTCGAAACGATAGCAGATCTTGCAAACAGTCAATGGCGAGCTTTATCTTAATATAATGCAAATCTTTCTGTGGACAGAAACAAACGCAAACAACCTTTGATTTTATAAAGATTAACCAAATTGCCAGAACACACTGGAAACAATCAGCTTGAAACAATGTTTTCAAGTCAACTGAGCTTATTAAGCCGCTGCGAGATCTAGTAATGAAAAATCTATAATCCAAAGTACTGCATTTATAAAGTGTTAAAGTCACAAAGTTACATAAGACGGACCACTTTATACATGACATTTGGTTCTCTGTATAATACGAATTAAGCCCTCTGGGCCAAGCTAACGCTGGAACACAATTACGCACAGAACCTTGGCTTTTGTTTTCTATTCCAGGACGATTCCACGTTAAAATTAGAGAGGGCTTTTTATCATATACTGTCATATATATTCTGTATTGTAATGGCCGTGAAAGTAAATAGATGGTTATTAGTTCCGAAGCAGTTGCGGTATAAAAACCGTAACAAATAGCCGATATGTTGTCAGTCTCAAGCCAACGGCCTCGTCCTTCACAATATCGTTTTTCGCTTAAACATTGGTTATCCATGCTCGATTTTCTAGGGACAATTCCCGACAGAGGCTTGTCACCTTTATTCAGCCGCTTGTAGCGGCGTCAGGTCGTGCTCTGTGTTGTCGCCGGTTTGGACGCGGACGTTTAGCCTCTTTGATTATGTGCAAAGAAGCCAATAAGTGTGTGTGATTGGAGCGATTAGATACCGCTTTAGTTGAATGTATCCTAAATATTTGTTTTTGTTGAGAAGAGACAAATCTTGATATACACATGAACAGCACATTTATTTGGAGGGCACAGTTGAATGCAGTTGATTCAGTCAGACAGCTGAGATGACCAGCGCATCAAAAACGAAGCCACTAATACTGTCCTATGAGAATATCCGCCTTTTGCTCTTTGCAGTAGGGTGACAATCGGCAACGAAGCTGCTGAAGGACGAACGGTTATCTGCTAGAATGACTCTCCATAATGGCCCGACGCTCCGGCTGGTTACCAGCCTATGCTATTAAAGGAGAAAAATCATCATTTGTGAATACGTTTTCATTTAGCG